AACGCTTGTGCCTAAATAAGTGCCTATAAATGCCTATTTTAAAACATTCGTGGCTATATACAGACGATCTAACCACGAATGTTACTTTCGAGTGCAGTTTGTAAACGTCATTCATGGTAGCTGTCTAATTCAACTTTTATGAACTGTATGTGCTCTAAACTACAGTTCGCTTATTTAACAAATTTCCATAAACAATCTCTAGTAGCCGTCAAATTAGACGCGCGGCCACCTTACGCCATCACACGGCGATGAGTTTTAAAAGTCCGAGTGAGTCTGGATTTGTTATACATACCTGAGTCTTAGTCTGGATGAATTTTATTTGCATGGCTTCGAGTGAGTAAAGCTGAGATATATGTTTTCGAGTCGTAGCTCGAGGGAGTCAGGCTGAGAGAAATTTTAGTGTATTTAAGGCCGAATAAATCTTGCTGCAGAAACGTTTTGTGAATATGACTGCGAGTGAGTCTCGAAAATTTTTACATAAATAAATAAATAAATAAATAAATATATATATATATATATATATATATATATATATATATATATATATATATATATATATATATATATATATATATATATATATATATATATATATAGTGTTTTCGGTGGGTTTGAGGGTTTCAGGGATCTCTATTTATTTATCAGACCCTTGGTTATGGTCGAGGTAAAATTCATTCAGGGTGCAAACTGGTCTATTGTGCGGATGCAAAACTAGTTTGGCAGAGGAACTCAGATCGAGAAGATATTATTCGCACGAGAAAAGAACAACCTCCTTTGTTGCGAAATCAAATCATTAACGGTAACTACAATATACAATATTGGTTCAGCATGAGCCAACTAGCCTGCAGGAAAATATTTAGAGAATATAAAGAGGTTCATTTTTACGCAAACTCAAGCAAACAGTGCACGAGCCTACAGGAAGTAAGAAAAGGCTGGAACAGTTATTGCTGTTTGATTCTAGCGATGCAGAATGATGTATTCCGCTATCGGACGACATTATATGCAGATTTGTTGCGCCGTGGCCTCCAATAATCTTAAGGGCAGCATGAATACTTAGAACGGCACAACACAATTGTCCACTGTCACCCTACCCTTCCATCTCTGCTTTCTGATATTTCTTCGAAATAATGTTACCGCTTGCACAGTAACACTCAGGGTGAGGTTACAGACGCGGTTCTGTTTTTCAGGAGTTGATGACTGTTCATGGGGCTTGATAAATCTAAGTAATTTCATTTATATTTTTTTCTCTTCGTTTGATAAGACCGAAAGGTTCTCATGCAAGGGTGCCAATGGGTGTAGAATTATCCACAATGTAACATCATAACAGCGCATAAGCATACATTAGTAAGCGACTTAGAACTGGAAATTGCAGCTATCTTTGCCTCAACACAGACTTACGCTTCACGCCCATTTACTCCTTTAAGTAACCAGGAATACGTGGCGGTTGATGCGTTCTTGTCGTGGTCTGTGCGCACACCCGTCAAGCAATCGATGTCGCTACCCTTGACTGCGTCAAAGACGGTGATGCCATTCGCTCGCAAAGTTGTCGAACAGCTGAAAAGCACGTGAAATGTGAGTGTACATTTTCAGGTGTCACGCTAGATTCGGGATAGCCACCGTTTTTTTTTTTCGCAACCAGAAGTGTGCGATGATATTCGATCTTGTCCGTCGAACTTCTCATATTTTCAGTCCTTTCAATGTAATGGTAAGTTTTGAGGCCCCTATTCATATTGGGGATGGGGCCGATGTCACGGCACTTTAGTCATAATTGACACCTTTAGAAGTTCTACTGAGTATCAGTAAGTAATTGAATTTTGTTGCACACAGCATGTGCAAACAGCACCATACAGAATCAAGGTTTTCTAGGCACGCAAATGACACCATGCATAGTTCAAGACACCCGGCGTTTTGAGGCCGATGGTGCGCAGTATTCAAGGGTTGACTACTTCGATCGTGGCAGTGGCATTACCGTCTTTTTTTCTGGTCTAACATCGGTTCTTTTTGTACATGGCATGGTGAGCGCCGTCCGCAAATGCATTAGGCAACGTATCCAAAATGCGAGCGGTATATAGGTGTTCTGAATGTACCAGAACTTGAAGGTAAGACGGCTTCTCAAGTTTGTCTCTGTAACTAAGAAGAGTGTGGACGTAGACTAGTTGGTGATTCGGTGTCGATGCGGATAAATGCCGGCTATATAAATAATTAGTAGCACCTAATATAATCAACTCTGTTGTTTGACCAATTATTTCTGATATCATCCTTATTTTTAGGTCTGTTTGCCAAGTATCGTCAAAACGATTAATCACACGAGAACATTTGTTCCTGTATATGTCTGAAAAGCTTTTCTTTTTCACTAGGTATCTACGGGGACCAGATATGGGCCATCCAGAGACTTCATAATACAACGGTCAGCGTCGGCGCGCCTATCGCAGAGAGTGAGTGGCCCGCTGTGTAGTATACGCCTTTCCCAGGACTCCCAATAACGTTTTTCCGTGAATGCTTCGACTATGGGAGTTTCAAATATGAAGGTTTAGTGGGCGCTCTTTCATAATTTTTCCATTTTTTGTATGTGTAAAACTTTTATTGTCTTGAATATCTCCAAAATATCCTGAATTCGCGGCGAAAACCCTAGTTTTAACGGGCCGTCACAGAAATTACGTTGCATTCGACAAACCTTTTAACCGGCGAAGCTAGCGTGTTCATTAGGTAACTGTTCCTACCCCACCTTAAAACGCAGGAAAAAAAAAAGAAAACACCAAGAGCTATTACGAGACAGCTTGTAAGCAAGTAAATCAGCCATAGCTTAAAGAATAGCATGAGCCGATGCCATGAGGAGGCCTGAATGACGCAGGCATTGGCTATAGGAGCGTTCTTTTGTGATAATAACTTGGATAAAGAAGCTTGCCGGTGAAGTGCATCGGGTCGGGCCCCGTTTAGCAGGAGGTAGAGAACAGCCTAAAGCTACACGAAACTTCGCCTCGAATACCGAAAGCGTGTTTAATTTGGTTTTACCACAAACTCACGCAAATTATAATTGTTGTATTCTCGAGGTTTGCGGTGTTTGCAGCAAATTGTTTTTTGTGATGTAAGCTCTCTTAAACTTGCGACTTTTTATGGATAGGCCTACTTGTTTTCTTTTCTAAGAAGTAATATAGGTGACGTTTGTGAAAGTAGTTGTGAACTTCTTCTTAGAGGAATGTGAAGAGTTGAGAACCCGATGAAAATCAAAGCATATAAAGACATGAGCAGGTGCCAGCGAGTAGCCAGCCAAGTTCACTAGGTTCTGGTGGTTTTGCTTAAGAACCCCTTAACCTCTTGGGAACATTCGCAAAAGGGCACGTAGGCATCCCAGAATACCACTGGCCGATCATTTATTATCGGTTAAGTTTCGGATGTGGCGGTGGAAAAATGCGGCGTTCCAGGTAAAAGTGCTTTGTTATTTCATTGTACGTAATTGGTGCATCCCGATTGGTATCTAACCCAGCAAGATAGGGTTGCCCTGTGGCGGTGCGGTCGGTAAGTGCGCGCGCTCAATCATGGGCGATCTCGTTGAGGTTGGATAGGGCACCCGGCCCCTGGCCTAGATGGGCGGGGAACCAGATGACAGTATGGTGCTTCAGGGCACTCAGGTCTGCTTTGCGCAGGATACGTAGCGCCTGGTCGGAGATGACTCTGCTTTCGAAGGCTTTGATGGCCGGCCTGGAGTCGCTGTAAATGAATTCCTGTTTGCTGTCGAGCTGTCGAGCATTCCTGTTGCTACCACGTAGCAGTGGCTCTGTGTTCTACACAAGCTTTCGTTCCATGACATTAAAGCCACATGGCTTCTCTACCTCACGAAGCACCTACAGAGAGAATATTATCGTCTTTCGACGACATTTCCACTGATGCACGCAAATGCACGGCCAATCTTTTTTTGCTTTGTCTTCGTTTCCTTACCTTCCTTCTCTCTCTTTATTTTCTCTCTATGTAATTCTCAGTTCCTCTTTCTTCCTATTTTCTGTCTGTACACATCTACTTCACTTTGTTAATTATTTTGCTGTCTTACTTTTCCCTGTGTTTTCATTCTCTTTATTTTTTTAGATTTTTTCATTTAACTTTCATTCTACGCCATGCTTTGCTGACTACTTTTTTCTAGCCGCAGTCGTGGCCGAGTGGTTAAGGCGATAGTCTTGAAAACCATTGGGTTCTTCCCGGACTACTTTTTTCTATCTCCTGGGCATACTGCAATGTACGCGGCAATGTTATTCTCTCTTAGCGTGTCTGAGTGAGTGAGTGGCTACAATGATCGTCTTCGAATCATGGCTACAGTAGTTATAGGGTGACACCATCGATAAACTTTTTCGTGACAAATTTGCCCTTTCTCTTTCTTCTCCCCGTCATACTCTTAGAGTGCATTTATTCTCTCGCTCAGTTCCCGTTCATGATAATATTATGTTGCCGGATTGCAACCGACGGCAGGCGTTAACAGCTGTCCTGTTCATATCGTTTGGGCTTTGTATACCCCCTCTCCCCCTAAAAAAAGAATGCCTTGATGGCATGTGTGGACTTCATGTAGTTGCCACATGTAGCCTTGGTGCTTTTTGGTAATGATCCATGTAAGTACGACCGATGACTTTTGGTTGAGTTATGATTCTCTAAGTCTAACTTTCATCTCGTTTGATATCATCAAATAATCTGTGGTGTGTGCATATTACTTTCTCCAACGGTCTGTAACGCTTAAAGGTGCGACTTCCCAAGCGTGGATTTCCCATTCTCCGGACTGCATTTTCATACTCCCGAAGGACGTACGATAGTATATTGACACACAGGCTGTGCAATAATTTATACACTGAGGGTTAGAGCCTTTTTGTGTAGCATTTGTGTACATCCCACTGCTTTGTGAAGTGTTGCTTAGCAATATTAACGACTGAAAAACAGCAAAAGATTATTCTATCTTATTATGTGCTGCAAAAAAAAAAGATTCCACAGACGGCCTTAACATACAAAGATGTAATCACCACTGCAGGTATATAGACGGATGTATTTTAGAGTGTCCGACAAAAACTAGTCTACCATACACAATTTGTTGAAAAAGCTATCATTGCCGTAGATAAGTGCCTTTCACACTTGGTTGCAAGTAGCTTTATCGTAAGCTACAACTTCCTTGTCGCAGTTTTTGCGGAATTCTTCTGTACATTGGCTGGGAACATTGTCTTTCGCCTCTTCCGAGGTCCAAAGCATACATTCTGCAAAATAAACGAAATATTTCACAGTTACCTCTGCCCACATGAACGAATTAATGTTACTATGATGTAGCTGCAGATAGGACGGCATCAATTTAATTAGCCAATGAACCACGGTTAATATGCTGCCACTAGTATGAAAACTCGACAACACGTAGGTTTTTTAGAGGTTCGGTAAAATGTTCAGTTTTTAAGGAAAATTAACGACCTTACCCAATGTTTTCACATTGATAGATACGTTAAATTGTCAGAGGTGAATAGAAAGTTTTGGGATTGGCTCTGAAGTGGCGCTCTCTAACAACAGTGCTGTGTACTTTTGGTGCTGCTACTGATGTAGGCACAGCTAAAATTCAGATTGCCTTGGTTGTGTCGTTACTCATTTCTTGCTCATCTGTCATAAGATCTTTGTATAGAACTGACAGACCCTAACACAGGATTCTATCTACGCTGTCCACGTAAACAATCACGAGTGTCTTGCTTACGTGTATTGTCATTGTATGGGATCTCCATGACCGCGCAGTTTTTGTAGTCTGCGTAGATAAGCCTTGATTCTTGTTTCCAATCTTCATCTGGAAGCCGTCACAGAAAATGAAGCCGCGTATCATCGTTTCTATTCATGTACACCAAGCGAACGTGATAGCCAGAGATTGGCGAGAATTCAATACATAATAAAAAAAGATATCGGATAATACCAAGAACACATTGAATAACATATCGTAAGTACTGGTTCAAGCTGCCTTTAGTATAAAGCGTTTACTGTACGTCAGTTAGGGAGAATAGTTAGTCTCCTTAAACTTATAGCGCTTTGTTTTTGACTTTCAGTAAACCAAGAGTAGTGAGGTGACTGCAGCAGTTACTCTACGACTTTTTTCATAAATGTTTGGGTACAGTATTTTACTGGTGCGAAGCATTAGTGAAATTGTTTCAACTCGCCAGTAAAGTTAGGGCACGTGTTTTGTTTATATAACAGGGAAGGAGCTTATTTTCTTGAAGAATTCCTACTCGGGCTGTGTCGCAGTCGATTTTTCAACGCAGAAAACGAAGAAATGGCTCGTTTTGACGCATTCATGATCTTGGACCTCCACATTTGGCCGAGATTGTGCATGATAGGCTACAACTGCCATAAAAATGTGCGGTCTGCACAGTCGTATTTCAGAGAAAAATATTTTGCAGAAATTTCTAAGGCAGCGCCCGACCATTCGAATGACTCTAAAGAGTAGAGCTGATTATAAGTTATAACATCGCGCAAATTTCAATGTGACGACATCTGCTAGACGCCGGTTGGCAAATCAATCACCGTGTGTATGTTTGTTGTACATTTGGTGGTTTTTCAAGTATTTGTTGTATATTAGGTTGTGTACGAAAGCTAGGTTATAAAGAGAAAGAAAACGACGCATGGTAGAGCTGTATTGCGCATTGCGATATGGAGCAAGGGGTGACTGGTTCGAATTTATTGGTGGGGTGTCTAAATTTTTTTCTGATAGTTATTTTTTGTTTTATTTTCATATATTCTTATAGAGATAGATATACAAGGGACGGCAGTGACATTAATGTGAAAAATCCACAAAGAGTGGCATCTATTTGTTCTAGGTATGAAACTAAAATATGGTACAACTGCAGGATCACTTCATTCTATTCAGGTCACAATAATCTTTTGCTGATAAATATCCTACTCTCTCTAGTTTATACGAATTGTCCTTCCTTCTTATTGTCAAATAAATAACTTATAAGGAGGGTGATACAGTGAACATCATGTTTACGTGTACAAGCACAAAAGTTTTAGTCAATTTCTCGCAATCCACTACGATCTATTGTGTACGCCGACGGCTCCCGTGGAGCACTAATCATAGTGATACCTCACCATGGTGGCTATCTAGGCAACAACTGCGTCACCAGCTATCAGTAAATAAGACAACTAGTCTTGTTACTCAATCATTAAATTTTAGGCTCTTTTATGTGTAAACTAGTTAATTACCTACGCTAAAACTTGTTCATGCTTACCATTATCAATAGCGACTATTGCCCTGTCGGGCTGGTCTGCTTTCTTGAAGTGGACTGTGATATTCCGTCTGAAAGTATGCAGGCACATGTAGGTAACACGAAAACTTAGCAATGAAAGGATGACACTTTTTCGCATAGTTCGTGTATCGTCGTATACTCTTTTTCCGAACTTTTCGGCTAACAATGGCTGCCAGTTTTGGCACAGATCTGCTTAAATGCATTGCCAAGTTTAACTTGTTTATGTCGTATGGTGGAGATATGTCGCGTTATATGTGCGCACAATTCAAGGTGTTATACAGGGTCTCCCACATAACTTGAGCCAAGAATTTGAAACTGAAATGCACTTAGGAGGCGAATCGAACCAAACGCATGCTACTCGCACTAGCCTGTAGGTACTCAGGCTATTTTTTATTTGTCTCCATACTAATTAAATACTAATTTTCAATTACTCGTTTTTAATTATGGACTGGAAACCCAAAATACGAACACTGAGATGTAGACCACTTTCAGAAACTACCAACAAAATTTCCACGTTGTAAAGGAAACCCGCAAAACGTGAAAGGAAGGCGTGTGACGGAGCACGAGCGCACTGCTATAGTGCTGCAATAGGCTTTCTTTGGCTTGCTTACGCAGCAGTTCCGCATCACACTGCTATACAACTTGGAGTATGCTTGACCTTCGTATTCTAGAGTAGTACGCGGTAGTGTAACCAGACCCCATGCTCATCGCATTTACTATAGCGGGAAGGAAAGAAAACGCTTGTTCCCATGAAATTGGTCCTTTCGAACTATCTTAAAATGCTTACTGGACGTACAGATGCTAAATTATTGCTTCGCCCTAATGCTTCTTTTTGCGAATTGGCGAAGTATTTACTCCCTTTTCGTGAGGTTTCATGCGCTTCTGCGGAGCTGCAGGCCTTCTAATAGAAAAGCATCTTCAAGCCAACCACTCACCACACAATTTACTTGTTTTGATGATCGGTGTAAATGTACAAATCCGGCGCACGATACTACATTCATTAAGGAAACTCCCCTCCCCCCCTATAAAGCACTCTTATAGCTATTTTTAATGAAAGATTGGCGTATCCCACGCACTTAGGAAATCGACGTTATGCGAAGCTTGCGGAAGAAAGATGATCACATAATATTTTTTTAAGTGAGTGACACGTCATGAAGTTAGGCTGAACACACGTGTAAATCTTGCACGCAGTGATATTTGTGTAAGAGTTGCAGTTCCTTATACTATAAGTCGTTTGCACTTGTGTAACGACGCATCAGGAACATGAAAATTGAAAACACCTGAAGCGACAAGCTGACATGAAGCGCTGGGGCTCGCGAGGATTTTAGCCTAGGACAGTGCTTCATAAACAGGGCGACACGCTTAACTCGACGGGGTGGCTGCATCATAGGAGTGCATATGCAATGTTTAAGAAATGCGATGCATTCATGGGAAGAGTGAACATGCGCGACTCACTTCGGACGACCATGGAGGCCTTTGAGAATCCAAATATAATCGGCAGCTTGTCCCTCTTCAAATTTCGTTCGCACTGCCTTCAGGCACTCGAGATCACCGTCTTCGTCGGTGTCCAGTATGGCAACGCCGTTGGGGTGTACCTGAATTACCTAGAATGTTGGCAGTGAAATTGAAATATTTGCAAAAAGATATGAAGGATAAACTCAACCTGTGAATGGGTCGCATGGTAAGACCAACCGCAAACACCCTACTTACCTTAATCAAAGAAAAAAAAACTGTCTCCGTTAACAAAGCGCTAGTAAAAGGTAACTGCACTAATGATGCCCATCTTACAAGATTGTTCCGCAACATCGCAAGAGCACAGAGCACATTATGCTCGACAATTTCATGTTTGCTTTAAATTCGCCCCAATAGGTTCTCCGCCACTTCAATACTATGCGGTAGAATTTTGTTATTGAGTATTGAACATTGTTTTATTCGTGATTTGAAAAGGAAATGAAGTGGCGCATTGTCCATAAATTGCGATCGCTTGTTTAGAAGGAGCACGTATTGTAAACGTAACTACTGGCCTGATTTCGTATAATAGATTGCATACCAATGCAGACAGAGCCAGGGTGACTGAGGCTTATGTGCGCTAGAAGAAGTTTACACTTCTGAATGTTAGGTCAAGCAATGGCTACGCGAACCGTGTAAAAACTTAGGGCGGTGAAAACCCATATTGAATATTTTGACAATATTTCAGTAGTATATATACTTCACTGAAACCAAATTGCGTAATTAATTCGCTTATTTGGACTGGAACTATCAGCAAAACTTCAGCAATCAATATAAAGACTAATCAGAGTTGTGGTATGCGTGGGACATCGAACTAGTACTTTGAGGCTTATAAAACACTAAAAATCCTCAAAGAAACCAGATGCTTCGGGTTTTGTGTCCCAATATACAGGAAGAAATACAGTAAGTGGACGTTCGCAACGGACATAAAATACGCCGTAAAGAATCGTATGGTAAAAAAATTGTGCAAACAGTTTTTCAGTTTTGCGGTGAAAGAGCCGTACACCTTGAAAATACTTCACAAACACAAGTAGCACTAGCTTAGATGTAAGAATATATTTAATCCTTTAGGAAAACAAAAATTATACGTGCCTTAAAAAAATCGAGACCATTGTTCTCTGAGCGTGTTTGTAAGTCACCAAAAACGTCTCCTGGTGTAACCCAAAAAGTGCATACGCACGCTATGATAATATTGGTTACTTGCAGCATCTTCTCTACTCTCTGTTGCGTCGAGCTGGTGTAGTGAGACGGTGGCATGTACAGTTTATATATAAATACGAGAAAGTTCTATCAACCTTGACATATCACACATTTTCATTGTGGTGTTTGGTTGCATGCTTTGTGAGTATTAGGATGTCTGTGTGAGATATTATTCATACTTCCGTTTGTGCTAATTAAATTTGCGATGTGTGGGCTTGCGTAAATTGATAACCACAGCCTGGCGCTAGTAAACCACTTTCTGAATATCTGTTGTGAAGACTGTCAGGTAACCTGATCCATTCACTGTGAACACAGCCCCGCGTACACTCATCCTTTTTCTGCCTATCACCTTCACGCAACACCATTCAAAACAGAATTAGTTTTTCAGCTAACATTTCATTAACTTGCACTGGTTCCATTTCAGTTCCATTGGGTCGTGTTTCGCAGCGTAGGGGTAGTTTCATACACATGCTGTCTGAAGTGAGTCTCTCTGTAAAATTATTAACACTGGGGTAAGAGAAAAATACAGAAGGGCTTATGAATACGTCTAGTTAGTCGAATTTTTAATGATCATCATCATTTTGTTGAAGAGGCTTTTCACAGTCTAAGTAGTCAACTTCTTGTCATGTGAATAACGCAGGAGAGATATTCATGATCTAAACATAATACATTAAATTTGAAGTATATATATATAAATAAATAAATAAATATATGTATATATATATATATATATATATATATATATTGTAGGCATCTATTATATATATATTGTAGGCGTCATAATATATATATATATATATATATATATATGAGATATAACAGACAGTAATGCCAAGGAATGTACAGGGGAAGTTATTAGAACCAATGGAACACATATAAGAAGAAAGAAAAGTGGATGAAAAAATGAGCAGCCGTGAGCAGGCCGCTGTAGTAGCTCAGTGATTAGAGCATCGAACGCGTTATTCGAAGGTCGTAGGTTCGATTCCTGCGCACGGCTGTTTATTTTTTCATCCACTTTTCTTTCTTCTTATTTTCGTTCCATTGGTTCTAATAACTTCCCCTGTACATTCCTTGGCATTACTGTCTGTTAGATGTCATTAGGATTGTGTTAAAACACGGAAAAACGAGCCCTTTGGTATACACTTCTTTCCCTTATATATATATATATATATATATATATATATATATATATATATATATATATATAAAAGAATAACATTGGTGCCGCAAGGTTATAAATACGAAAGTAGATGCACTTTCACATAACAACTGTTTATTGTGGCGACGTTTCGACGGGAACCCCGTCTTTTGCCTTGAAAAAGACAGGGTTCCCGTCGAAACGTCGGCACAATAAACAGTTGTTATGTGAAAGCGCATCTACTCTCACATATATATATATATATATATATATATATATATATATGTAACGTATGTAGGTAGTGACTGAAGGTAGAGGCTGAAGAGGAAGAAGTGCAGTATGGAATAAACATGGCGTATGAGCCAGGCCACGTCTCTCAGTCATCATAGCGGTACACGAGTCAACAGGATGGAAACCTGCCTGCCCTTTCATCAGTTACTCATCATCGACGCAGTTCCCCAGAAGACATCCTGACCATACATTGACAACCGAATCATCGCCTAGAAGGACAACGACCAGCAACATGACAGAACCGTCGACTGACCTAGACATCCCCAAGTACACCGGATCAGCGGACGACGGACCCGTACAGGACTGGTTCAACCTATTCGAGCTCCACGCCGCCGCTGCATCCTGGTCGGAACGGGAGGTGATTATCAACTTGACTGACTACATCTCTGGTGAGGCATTTAAGTTTTACCTCGCCCACATCTTTGAAAATGACGAGTCATGGCAAAAGATCAAAGAAGAGATGTTCACTCGTTTTAACGACCAATAACGAGACCTACTTATTGCCGACCATCTGGAGAAAACCACACACTATCGTCAATTCCCTAAGCAGTCCTCAAGCATTCGAAAGCCCAGCGCGAATCGACAACTGCAACAAGACGAAGTGGCACATGAGTTTACTTTCAGAAGACCATGCGTGTTTTGGGAAAAATCTAACCATCAAGCGCACCTCCCTTCTACACGAATGTCAGCATTTCGAAAGTCCTCGCTCCAGCATATGACCTGTGTGACGCTATGATGAATGGGCAGTCGTGGCCTGGCTCATACGCCATGTGTATTCCATACTGCACTTCTTCCTCCTCAGCCTCTACCTTCAGTCACTACCTACTTACGTTATATATATATATATATATATATATATATATATATATATATATATATATATATATATATATATATATATATATATATATATATACATATATATACATACATATATATATATATATATATATATATATATATATATATATATGTATGTATGTCTGATGAAGATTGGTATTCAATCGAAACGTCAGAAGCGTATATTTATTTTATGCTACTTCTACGGCAACCAAAGCCAGACTATTTATAATCTACGTAGATAAATTGCCGTGGGTACCTGTCCTTGGCTGTAGAAATGAACTTGGCTATGGGGATGCAGATGCACTCGGCCACGCAGTGATTGGACTTCACATGCTATGAAATACGCCTCTGGTCATATAGTTTCTCACAAACATACCTAGAGGGAAATGTGGTGCTAGTGAGCTGCTGGATGCAAGGGAAGGACTGGATACGTGAGCTTCAAACTTGACGTGATAAGCTGTTTATTTTTGTCATTCCACATAAACATGTATTTAACACTAGAACTTTCTACATTGATGTACAATTTTACGAAGCGTATGAAGTAACCAATGGCCACTATACTTGGCAGGCAGACGACAAGCAAGCGTTCCCTCCGCCACTTTTATGTGGTCTGTTCCTTTCTTTCGCCGTTTGGTTTTGCCGTAAAGGTAAATAGACTTTCATTTTAGAATACAATACCCATGAATTAGATCCGCCTATAAACGTTTTGCATTAGTCAAGCATTATTTTCGCAGTCGTATTCGGTTTTGAGCCGAAGCCTCGCTGAACGCCAGCCAACACAAGCCTCGCAGACACAAATATCGTCATTCCCAGCGCTCCAACATCGCTCCTTAACAAATTCGCATAGACGGTGGCGCCACACTTCCCTCTAGATATTTGTGAGAAAGTCTATGCCTCTGGTGCATGGTCTGCGCATGCCTGTGTTCTTTTACTTCGTCGATCGTCTCGTGCGCGCTGTTCGACCGAGATTAAGGCATACCAACTCACTCAAGTTTCTATTCTTATGCCGTGACTTGTCTAGCCGAGTTGTTCTACTTTTTGGGGGGCGGTACCTGCTCGGTCGGGGTGGTCGGTGCACGTCTTCGTTGCGCTGCGACTTTCCTTGCCTTGAATTCAAGGATTCTGGATGTGCAGGGTGACGTTGGTTATGTGGCCGCGGTCGACCTCGTCCACGCAGTAATGTTATGTCAGGTGGCAACCATGGATCTTGCAGCAGACATTGATTCGGTCGCAGAGAAAATAGGGCTCGTGGCATATCAGAATGAAAACGCCGGGGCAGCACCTGAGTGACTAGCCGCGCCGGCACGTTTCCTCGTGTACTCTTTCCCACGCATTTGTCGAAGGTGGTTGCGCTCTAACTGTGCTCACCACAAGAACAGTGAGGTCTTCCTTCTTTTTTATTGTCGTCCAACAGCTCTGAAGCCACTCCTTGTAGCACACCAAGTGCGGGTTTCCTTGTGGGCGACTTCACTAAAGATAGTCTGTTAACGCACTGCTCGATTAGATGGCGTAACATTTCTGCGCATGCCTCGGAGGACTACCGACTGCGTCATTGTAATTAATGAAGGCACATCATCCGTTCGCTGGGCGGGCGGTTTATATTGTTACGGGAAAGAAGAGACGCCGTATCGACAAGGCTGGAGATTAGATGTATTTAAAACCAGTGGTAATGGCGTGACCGGTCCACCAGCGATTGAGTTTGTTTGTTTATTTGTTTGTTTGTTTTTCCTGGAATGATGGCTCATATTCACTCAGGGGGATTGGCCAAGAAAGTGTAGTGCAGTTTTTCTGTGATCATTTTACCTATGTGGAATGAATTGGTATTATATTATGACTAATGTAAAAAATAACATAAAAAGAGCAAACAAAAAAAGTCAAGTTGAGCAATTTTGAGATTTGAGGTGCTATGATTACCACTCAGCTGCGTTTACTTCACTCTGCCCTGGGGCGTGATAAATAATAATTTGTTGATTGAAGATCACAAAGGTATACGCTTGGTTGCCTGAATATAATCGCAAACGGCATTGAAAGCATCCCCGTGGCAATGTCCCAAAACTGAGGCACGATCGAGTGGAGACAACCCTTCGTCTTTCTCGTCAGGCACACACGTGCGTCACCCCCAAGAATATCAATATAATGCCCCAGTGGTACATGCGCTGTCTCGACGCATCTAAATGTCAACGTCACTAGGAGAGCTCTAGCACTTCAAGCGCGCAACATGTACAATATCAGTAGCCTATTGGGCACATGAAGGCGACGGGGTGGCAGGACCAAATTCATATATTACAAGAGTAACCACACGAACGACTTGGTATGGACCTGTGTAGCGAGAAAGCAGTTTTTTTGACAAGTCAACTTGACAGGTCGGAGACCAGAGCAGGACCAAAGAACTGGGCGGAAAGTATACATCGTGGTGTCGTTGGTCATACAAACGTCTTTGCTTCTCTTGAGAGGTCAGAAGGCGAGTACGGGTGATTTCGCGTGCGTGAGTGGCCCGAGTGATAGCGTCCACGGCATATTCACTGGTCGGTACTGCAAGGAACGGTATGACGGTGCCTAGAAGCAATGTTGATTCTCAGCCAAACAGCAAAAAAAGGAGAGTTCCCGGCAGTGTCGTGGCTCGAAGAATTATAGGCAAATGTGACGTACGGCAACGCGAAATCCCAGTTGCTGTGGTTGGTAGAAACATACTGAGCGAGCATGTCTGTAAGAGTTCGACTTAGACGCTCCATGAGTCCATTGGTTTGCGATTGG